ACAGGCCCCAAGAAGATGGAACTCTTTTCATATAATGAGAGAAGAAAATGGATCCTTCACCCTGAAAAGGAAAAGGATAAAAGGGAAAAGAATGTTGATGTGTTATATCCTTTAGTAAATGAAGAAGGTGGACATGGAGGGACTGACCCTTCACCTTCTGAAATAGTCTCTCTAGGGAGCACTTCTTCAAGCCCAAGAAAGTTGGATTTGAGATGTAAATTATTAAAGCCACTGCACACAACAAACAAATGGAGCCCTTTAAACCAGGAGGAAATAAAAGCTGAATCGAATTTGGTTTGTGAAGTGGAGGTGGGGGACCATAGTCAGGGGACATCCAAAGTCAATATTACAAATAATCTCATGTGCCACTGTCAGAGCCAAAGAGTGTTAGGGCCATGGGTCCAACCCCAGGAGACCCTGCCAATCCTTATGCTCTTACATTTTTGGCTTTTTGCATCTTTATGGCTTTGCAAGTCCAGCTAAAGTTGGCATCTCTTGAGCCTTTCCAATGACTTTGAATGCTTGTCTTTGGAAAGTAGCTATTGTCCGTTTTAAAACTAAGGCATTTAGAACTCATTCATTCATCCATCCACCCATTCATTCATTCATTGAGAGCCTACTGAGTACCAGCCTCTAGGTGTATGTATATTTCCTCTCTATTGCTTATGATTTTCTTCCCTGACCTGACCTTCCCGACTAACTCTCCCTACTACTTCCTCCAGGTACAGAAGTAGCCATTCCCTTCTTTCCCAAACTCTCCTTCTCTTAAAATGCTGTCCTCTCCAGTGCTCCAGAGCCAAGGGCAAACACTTTCAAGGCATATATCCAGACGTTCTGATTTTTTTTATTCTATAGACAATGTTTTTTTAGACTTTGTGTTACTCTCCCAAGAAACATGCCAAAGGGAATTAAAAGTGCAGGGAATTTATTAAGGGAAATACCTATGAAAAAAAGTGGGGTAGGGGCACCCAGGTGGCTCAGTCGGTTAAGCATCTAACTTTGGCTCAGGTCATGATCTCAGGGTCCTGGGATCAAGTCCCATGTTGGGGCTCTCTGCTCAGCGGGGAGTCTGCTTGTCCCTCTCCCTCTGCCCCTCCCCCATTCATTCTCTCTCTCTTTCTCTCAAATAAATAAATAAAATCTTAAAGAAAAGAAAAAAGTGGGGTGGAAGCTGGGAGAGGCAGAGAGAGCCCACAGACCATGATGCAGGTCTGACCCCAAGTGAAGGAGACCGCCGTGCAATCTCTGGAAGGATCTGTAAAACTGTCCTAGAGCCAAATTCAGCCATTAGGGGAATCCTGTGTCTCCCAGAAACAAGCCTGCCTCAGTGTCCCTGCCACACTCTGCCTTTGGCTGGGAACAACCAGTGATAAGAATGGCCTCGGTGCAAACACACCTCTGGGGCGTTCAGAGGGCACAGTGGGGCCTCAGTGAGTTACGCCCCTATGGTTGGAAGTCTGAGAAGCAAGCTCTCATGGTCACCTCAGATGTTCATTAACATGGGGCAAAACAAGTTTCCTTCTATTCTTTCATGCCTCTTCAGTGACTCAGATTAGGAAATCAAGAGTTTGGGGTGTGTGTGTGTGTGTGTGTGTGTGTAGAAGGAGCCCACTCCCCACAGCCACAGCGGCGTCTCCAAAGCCCAGTTCACACTGCAGACCCTCACCCCTCTCTTGCTCCCTTTCAGACCATCCTGGTGGGTGACAGCGGCGTGGGGAAGACATCTCTGCTGGTTCAGTTCGACCAGGGCAAGTTCATCCCGGGCTCCTTCTCGGCCACCGTGGGCATTGGATTCACAGTAAGCGCTCCCAGACTCTGGGGCCCTGGTGTGTCTCTGTCAGGGTCCCAGCAGGAAACAGGTGGACGCTCACATTGGATCATTCAAGAAGGTTGAATACAAAGACTACTTACCAAGGTGGAGGCAGGGTGTTGGGGATCCAGGGGGTATGGTGCAGTGTCCGTGCATGGCGCAGGGCCTCCGTTCCAGCCCTAACCTAAAAAAAAAAACAAGAGGAGAGATCTACTGTCAGAACCTGGGGAAAAAAGCCTGCAAGGGGAGGGCTGGCTGGCAGGAGCTGTGACCCTCAGTGGAGAAACCCAGCAACTCATAGTCACCCTCCTGGGAGCTAACCAGGGCAACAAGGCAGCTCCCTCCTACCGTGCTCTCCTCCTGCTCCCCCATCTCTTCCTGGGGCTCCCCATTGGCTGAACACAACTGGAAACCAGAAAGAATATCTTGATACAGATTGCTCAGGTCCACCTTCCAGGGCAAGAAGAATGTGGAGAAGCAAAGGGATGGCTTCAGATGTTAAGTACAGTCCAAATTTAACACTGTTGCGTGGGTCCTAGGGAGCTGGCAGGCCAACAATTAGAGTTTTGTTCTTAGCTCTCTGCCTCTCCCTGGATCTCCTCAGGATCAGGATGGAGCGGAGCACAGGGCCTGTGGGACCACACTCAGGGCTGAAAGGTAGCAGTGTCACACTGGTGGGAAGAGGCAAGGGGAACCCCCAGAAACTGGACTTGCCTGTTAGGTCACAGCAAGGAAGGCAAGGACTCATGATGGCCAGGGATTCAGAGTAAAGCAGAAATGAAAGCCTGGCCAGCATGTGTGCCAGGGCCTAATCCAACCTGAGACACCAGCGCCCAGCGTTCTCCCATGACCGGCCTCCAGAGTGCTGGGAAGGACAGGGCTGAGTCCCAGGAGAACAAGCCTGCCCAGACAATTCCTGAGGCCTTGGACCAGGCTGCCATACCAGGCATCCCCCACCAAGGGCCCGTTCCCCGTCTGCCCCTCAGCACACAAGTTCACAGGGGGCCCTCACAGGCACCAGCCTTCTCCCTTCACTCCACGCCCATTGTTCCGCCTGGCAGACTCAGAGGGCAGACAGTGGGGTAGATGTGGGTGGGAACGCTCTGATTCACACTCCACAGATGCATCTGGGTGGGACCTCCAAATTTTGCCGCTAGCCTAGTAAGAAAATGTGGCATCTGACCTCTAAGAAGGAAGAAAGTATGTGGTCAAACTGAGAGCCTGAAGCAGGCTGACACAGGACAGGCCTGGCTCTCCCAAACCTACCACAGGACAAAGGAGGGTCTTGGTGGAGCCAACAGCGCAAACTAGGGATGGAAGTCAGAAGCCCACATTTCCCTCTGCAGGCTCTAGGAGGGGCTCCTTCCTTGCCTCTTCCAGCTTCTGGTGGCTCCCAGCAATCCTTGGCATTTCTTGGCTTGTAGATGCGGCACCCCAATCTCTATCTCTGTCTTCACAGGGCCTCTTCTCCCTGTGTGTCTGTTCGTCTTCTTCCAAGGACACCAGTCATATTGGATTAAGGGCCCACCCTACTCCTGTACGACTTCATCTTAACTACTCACATCGGCAACAACCCCACTTCCAAATAAGTTCTCATTCTGAGGGAGTAGGGGCTAGGACATCCACAGATGGTTTCAGGGATGTAATGCAACTCATAACAGCGTAGTTTGCAGTGGACGGGGAGCAAGGGCCATGCCTCCTCCTCTCTCTCATTTCTCGTCGGCCATTACTCTCTTGCTCTGAAAACCGTTGCCCCTTCAGGGTTCCAGTGTGAGCACTCAAGAGCTCAGAGTGGGCTGGGGTGTTATTTGCAGCAGGTGACTCTGGCATCCAAAGAGCTGACCATACCACACATCTGCAGAGTACCGTACAGCTTCTCGGCTCCCACAGATGGCTCTCTGAGGCCCACCTACGTATAGATGAGGTGATGGCATGCCCAGCGCCAGAAAATAACTCCAGCTGATGCCAAAAATCACAGAGCTAAGAGGCAGGTGTACACACAGTCCCCACCAGGCCTATAATCTCCCATAAGCCACACCTGCCCCTTACCCCCAACACCTAAGTCAAGAGGTGCAGATGCCCCTCTCCCCCTACACACCCTTCAGTCAGCCCCTGTGTAATGCACCCGCCCTGTTCAGAAGTAAGCTATGTGCTTGTATACAATGCTGGGACAGGAGTAACTAAATGGCTGGCCAGGGCCACAGAGTCCCTGAAGCCTACTAGGGGCAACCCCTGACACACTCCCACTCTCTGTCACCAGGAGCTGCAGGATTCCTGGGATGTCCTGGACGGTCTGCTCAAAATGATCCACGACCTCATGAATGCATTTAATACCAAACATCTAAGGCCTGCTCCATGCCAAGGGACGGGTGCCAGGCATGAATAAGGCCAGCCCTGCCTTTAGGAGCGCCTAGATTGGGAGGTGTGTGGGGGGAAGGCTTTCCCAGGATGGGTCATTCTGGGCGCAGCCCAACAGGTCAGGGAGAAATGAGAGGTTATCTACACTATAAAGGGTCAAAGTCCTAGCATCCACCAGGGGTCGTGAAAAACCACCGTGTAAATGTGCTGCAAGGTGAATTTCGGTGGGTAAGTAAGATTATATTCAGAAAAGCTCGCGCTGGGGTGCATTAGCAAAAGCAAAACTGCCTGAGCGCCTTCCTCACAATGCACGCCTCCTCACAAAACCAGCGCCCCGCTGCCCGGAGGCATCCCCAGCTCACAACCGGGACCCAGGGACACCTGTCGGCCGCCCGCTGGCCGGGGCTCGGGCGCCGCCTGCAGGCCACGCTGCGCAGCGGCAGCGAGAACCGGGGCGCCGGACCGCGGGGTCCCCGCGATGCCAGACCTTGCGAGGCAGGCTGGATTTCCAGGGACCGTTCCCCGGGGAACCTAACCCGGGCCGCTGGCGACCCTGGGGGACCGGTCCTGGGGCTGGATTTGGCCCGTGTCCTCAGAGCGCGAAGCCGGGCCAGTTTGCTCGGGGGCCCGCCTGCCCCTCAGGCGCTGACCCTGCGGTCGTGCGCGCCCTCGCGAGACAGCCTGCTCGGGGCAGGTGTCGTCGGGGTGGCCGGACGGAGGGAGGAGCCTGTCGGGGTCCGGGCCGGGGCGGTGGAGGGTGGGAGGATGGGGTGGAGCCTAAAGCGGGGCGGTCCCTGCGCTGTCCCTCGCCCGCCACCAGCCCTAGCTCACCTCTGGTCCAGGGGACATGACGGGCATGTCTGGCGCCGCTGCCACCCGGGATGGAGAGGCCCCCGAGCACTCCCCGCCTTGCAGTCCGAGCTACGATGTCACGGGCAAGGTGGGTGGGCACTGCGCCCAGCGCTGGGGACTCCCCAGCCGGCTCTGAGGGTCACCCCTTCCCCGCGCCCTTTGCCCTGAGACCCCGGTCCAAGCCCCTTTCTGGCTTCGTCTGCGTTGGACTCAGCCCTTTCCCCAGGGAACCGGGTCTCCCAGAGCAGGGAGGAAGGGTGGAGACAGCCCCTGGCGCTATGCCATCGTCTAGGGCTCTGGGCTGGCTCAGCAAGGGTGGAAAGGGGAGGGTCGGAAGGACTGAATGACTCCCCACACAGCGGACCCCAACCCAATTTTCTTCTGCTGCACCCTGGCCGCTATGATCTCCCGGGAACCCCGTGCTTCTCGGTACGGGTTAAGCACACAAACCTCCTGGGCACAGACTCCCCCAAACGCTAGGATAAAGGGATGCCTGGAGACGCGGAGAGGACGCCCCCTGGCGGCGGAGCAGTTGTGGTTAATGCCCTTTCCCCAGCTAAGCTCTCAGCCGTGACTGAACATCGCGTTTGGAGGCCTTAGGCCTGAAGCTCTGTGGGACCCCTGGTGCCCCCGAGCCCTACCCCTTCCCTTTCTGCTCCCGCAGCCATTGCCTCCCGCCTTCTTCCAGGAGGATGTTGCTAACCAAAATGCAGGCCCACCTGAGAATTTTTAGAACCTGAGAAAGATTCTGTTGGTTAGTCACAAGTCCCCGGTGGGTGAGCTTAAGCCACCTCTCTGGGGCCAGATCCCTCTGCAGGGCTGCCCTGTACAGAAGCAGGTGAGGGAGGCAATGGACACTGGTCTGTCTGCCCTCCCTCTGGGCCCAGGGAGGAGTCAGGGACCGGGAACCCTGAACGAGGTGCTGAGGGAGCACAGAGCTTCCACTCTTCCTCTATTAGGTTGGGGATGAGTGAGGGGTTGCCCTGTGTCGTGCTGTGTGGCCTTGGAGGAGACCTGACTTTTCCTGTGCCTTCGTGTCCTCCCCCGCCCCCACGGCTCACTCTCACTAGGAGCTGGGGCCTCCACCCCCATTGTTTCAGGGGAAGCCACTCTGCAAGTCACCCACCCAGAGCCGTTGAGATAGGCGTCCTGTGTGGGCTGGTGGCAGGAAATGGGCCCCTGTGCCTTCAGGGGAGGGGGAGCTGCTAAGGGCCAGGCCCCAGGCTGGTGGGGACCTCCTGACCTCCTGGCCTGACAAGCCAGCTGGGCTCTTTGCCTAGGAGGTGGCAAGGCTGGGCTGGAATCGCCTGGCTGGGTGGGCAGTGAGCATCTTTTGTTCAAGGCAGCTGTGATCTGAAAAGGATGCAGGAGCTCACCCTCCCTCCTTCCCCCTCAGGGGCTAGGACTCAGGAGCCAGGGAGCAGTGCTGACTCCAGAGGGCTCCCCAGCCTCCAGCTCTCCATCTCCCCTGGGTCAAGCAGCATCTGTGGAGAGTGGCCCGTGGCTTCCAGCAGCCTGCATCCCCTGGGCTTGCCCCAGGAGACTGAGTCCAGGCCAGTCTGGGAGGAGCCTGGCAGGAGCTCCTTGGGCCAAATTAGAGGGAATGGGGGCCACAGGCAGGCAGCACCCAGCCCCGGGCCACTCTTCCCTGAGTCTCAAGTAGTTCACATCAGCATTATTGGTCCAAGTCATTAATAGACTCCAAAGAGGCCTCAACGAAATTATCCTTCCTCCCTTCTAGCTGCTGTGGAAACCATGCCACAGAAGGGTTAAGGAATCTTCCGAACATCCCCCAGTAGCCATTTACAAGCCAGGACCCCAGCCTTCATATGCCTTTTGCTCAGTCCCCTTACCTTTTCGCCAAAGTTAGCTAATCCTAGTACCCCATGCCCACAGCAGGAATGCCTTTGGGCTCCATTGGCAAGGTCAGAGCCTCAAAAATAACTCAAACCTAGTCCCTGCTCAACCCATTAAGTATCTAACCAGCCAACTGGGAAAATTCCAGCATTAGGTCCAGACCTCTGTTCTCCAAGCTTGAGCAATGACTAGACAGAAGGCTCCCTTCCCCTGGCCCCACTTGTCTTGTCCCTGAAAGAAGATAGATGAGCTGAGACTGACCAGACAATAAAGGGGAGGGACACACCCCACCCCACGCGCCCTCCCCTACAGTGACCCAGGAATGCTCATTTGCAGCCATCTGTCCCACTTGGGAGGTTTCTGCAGAAGGAACTTCAGATTCGTTGTCTCCCCATTTCAGCATAAATTTCAACCCTCCCTAGTTCATGCAACCCTTTTATAAACATAAAATGTCATTAGAAACTTCCAGATAAACCTTGTGACCAAAAAAAGAAAAGAAAACAACAGCAGTGGTAATTTTAGAATGTGCCTTTGCACACCACAGTGCCTGCCCCTATCAGATCCGATAGCCTCCCTTGGGTGATAATCCCTGGCCACGGTATTAACACTTCCCTTCTGGAGGTGGTGGTTCTTTGGGGCCACCGAGCACATTTGCTGAGGTCTCAACTCAGGCTTCCAGGAAACTGGGTGAGGACAGGAGAGTCAGAAGGAGGGCCTGAGAAATGAGCTGAGCCAAGGAGTAGAGAGGAGAGGCAGCGTGAAGGTAGCGGTAGGCTTTCCAGAACCAGGTGGCCCTCAGTGCCGACAGCATCCTTCCCTGGCCCTCTGGCCCTCTGCCCCTCCCCCCCTCTTTCCAGGGTCTCTCACCCTGGAAGCCCAGAAATTTGCCCCAACTCCCCATTAACTGCCTCTGCCCCCCATCTCCTAGGTGATGCTTCTGGGAGACTCAGGCGTTGGCAAAACCTGTTTCCTGATCCAATTCAAAGACGGGGCCTTCCTGTCCGGGACCTTCATAGCCACGGTCGGCATAGACTTCAGGGTGAGGTGGCTGCAGGCTCCTCCTCCCAGCTGCAAGTCAGGGGGGCCAGGACTCAGGCACAGCGTGCTGTCCTCTCCTTGCCGACCCTGGCTCCTCAGAGCTGCTGTGGCTCACTGCCCAGAGGGCGCCGGGGGTGCTCCCCCTTGGGACCACAGAGGGGGCCAGGTTCAAGGAGTCTGGGCATGGTCGGGGGCTCTCTGCCCACCTACAGGATATGAGCAATGAGACACTGAGTCTTAAAATTCTGCCCTATAGCAAGGCGGACACATCCCACGGTATGAGCTGAGTTTCCTGGCCTTCAGCCCCCTTGCTCATTGCCCTCTGAGCTGGGCCCCTCTGGCAAGGCCCCAGAGGTCAACAGGTCTTTCTGGAGTTCCTGGAAACACAGCACTGCACTGGGTTGAAGAGCCGGGCTCACCAGGCTCCCTCCCTGTCATCTTGAGGAACCCATCTTTACAAATCTGTGTCAGGGATGTAGCACTCAGCCACTCTCCACCCAAAGGGTCCAGGAGAGTAAGGTCTAACCCCAGGTGGGGGTGGGGGAAGGGAGGCAATGCAGAGGCCAGGTGCCTCCCTCCCAATGGGAAGGAACTGAAGCTTCATTCAGGAGAACTAGTGAACAGCTAGAGGGAAAGACCACCCTGCAGGTCCAGCCTCAGCCGTGCCCAGGATGCTGGGGGGCATCTTCTCTCTAAGGACTCAGTTCTGCAGGATGGGGCTGAGCTCCGGGAGGGATGGATGGAAGTGAGAAAGAGGCAGGGCCCCCAGTGCCCAGCCCTTGCCACCTGCTGAGGTCTGGGCAGAGCCAGGCAGGTGCTCGGGCTCTTCTGCCCCCGGCGTGTTGTAAGAAGAGCAGACAAGTCCCCAGAAGAACTCTGCAATAGGGGGGCTCTCTGGAGACAGGGTCCTGCTGCCCTGAGGGGATGATCTGACTGGAGTTGTCTCTGGGGCTCACTGTACCCCCTTTAACCCTGGGGGGCAACCAGAACAGAATGTCTGCTGCTCTGTAGAATGTCAAGGATCCAAGCCTCCCCTGCCTTCCAAATCCACCCTCCCTCTGCCCTTTTCTCTTTCAGAACAAGGTGGTGACTGTGGACGGTGTGAGGGTGAAGCTGCAGGTGAGACCAGAACTGCAGGGGAGGGGGAGGACAGAGGTGCCCGCCCCTGCTCTGCACCTAAACCGCAGGAGGCTTGCAGCCCTGCCCTCAGCCTGGGGCAATTTCCTGTGGGGCCCAGAGGAAACGGTTTTTGTGCTTTTGTTTGTTCGAGGTCTCTAGAAAAAGCAGTTCCCAGGCACCCTCTCTGCTATCAAAGGCAGCTCAACGTGCCTCCAGACAAGCTCAGGCTTGCTCCAACGCCTCTCCAGTTTCCCAGGCCTCATCTGCTCTGGGAGACTGGGCACCCCCAACCTCTGGGCTAGGGAAGAGGCTGCAGCCTGAATGAGCTTGTGACCTCAACAACAGCACCGTGCAGGACACCGTCACATGTTCAGAAGGCCCTGAGCACCTGCAGCAGGAAGTGTCCCACCTTCCCACACAGCTCTCATACTCCAGCGCGGGTTCCCTCTGCCCAGCACGGTCCCGGCACACTGCCTCCTTCTGACCATCTGTCCGTCCCTTCCTAGATCTGGGATACAGCCGGGCAGGAGCGATTCCGCAGCGTCACCCATGCTTATTACCGAGATGCCCAGGGTAAGCCTTCCCCAGCCCACCTGGCATACCCATCCTCCTGCCCCACGTCCCCTGTGTGATCTCTCTCTCCCCCCGCCCCCGCAGCCTTACTCCTGCTGTACGACATCACCAACAAGTCTTCTTTCGACAACATCCGGGTAGGTCCCCTTCCCTCGCCATCCATAAGCAGCCAAGGCGGGGCCTCCGCAAGCTAGGACTGCTTCCTGCTTGGTGGGAAGGGGGAGGAGCATGGAACACTGCCCCCTTTTTTTTTTTTAAGATTTTATTTTTATTTATTTATTTGACACAGAGAGAGAGACAGAGAGAGACACTGCCCCCTTTTTAAAAACACCTGCGCTGTGACTCAGAAGGAATAAGCTGCCGGTGGGCATCTGGTTGGCGTGTGGGCATGAAGGCCAGGCAGGCCGCTGGGTGTCTGTGTTACCTACTTAGCCCTGGCTGTGATTCCTGAGGGCAGCTCATGACAAAGTGTCCGCAAAGTACCCAGCTCCGCCCCAGGCAATTACCCACCCACAGAGACCAAGGGGAGAACACAAGCAGGAGAGTCTCTCCAGCCAGCCAGCCCAGGTGGCAAAGAAAGTGATTTGGGCAGTGAGCAGTTCTGTCCTCACCAAACTATTACAGAGTAGGGATAAAAATTCAACAAGCACAAGCACTGAGTGTGTATAGCACCATAACGGTTTCACATCTCCCTGACCTCAAGGGATTGGCAAGCAAATGCGGTGGGGGGGGGGGGGGCGGCACACGGGGACCAAAACATATAGATATAAAGCAGCTTATAAAGAGGATGGAAATCCACTCATATTGCCACCTCCAGCTCCATGCTCCTGGTAGACATCACCAATCAATCACAATATTTTTTATCACTAAGCCCTTATGTGTCCTTGGAATCCTCAATGAGGCACTCCAGGAAATCGCTGGTGACCACCAACTGATTTAGGAGACATAGCTCCTCCATCTCCAGTTTCCATAGAACGGGGAGTTGCAGTGCTTGGGGTTGGGTAGGAAGGTTGGTAAGGAAGGCTGATCAAGACCAGAGAGGCCAGAACAAAGAGGCAGATAAGAGAATGCAGAGGGACAGTGAGTAGCCCAGGAAAACCAAACAGGACAGAAGAAGGATGGGGGAGAGGGAGGAGAGAAGGGCTGGTTCTCAGTCATGGCCTGGCTCAGCTCACCCTCTCCCACAGGCCTGGCTCACTGAGATTCATGAGTATGCCCAGAGGGATGTAGTGATCATGCTGCTGGGCAACAAGGTGAGTGAGCCCATTCCTGTGCCTCCCCTCTTACTAGCTCCATGAAAGCCCCACCGCTGCCCAAGAGGGTTAGCCGCATGTCCTTCCAGCAAAGGATTCTTTTTTTTTTTTTAAGATTTTATTTATTTGAGAGAGAGAGAGAGAATGAGAAAGAGAGAGAGCACAGGAGAGGGGGGAGGGTCAGAGGGAGAAGCAGACTCCCTGCTGAGCAGGGAGCGGGATGCGGGACTCGATCCAGGGACTCAATCCAGGGACTCCAGGATCATGACCTGAGCCGAAGGCAGTCGCTTAACCAACTGAACCACCCAGGCGCCCCCAGCAAAGGATTCTTT